AAGAAAGTGTATGCTTAGATGTATATTTATGCACAATCTGGAATTTAGCTGAACAGTAGAACAATTAATTAAACCCAAACCCTAAACTAAGGAATGAGTGAATTTTAAGTTATAACTTAAAAGTTTTGTTAAATAATTAAACAAAATAATCAATGACTTTTCTTCACATCTAATGTTTTTGTAATCTTTAAGATACAAAGAAAGTTAATCAACTTTTGAAGAGATTATTAGTCGTGCAAACTTTTTTGTAAACACTTTGTTGTCAAAGCATCGGATGGAATAGATTTAAGACGTCTTTTAGTCGTCATGTTCAGTCAGTTACCCGCGTTTTTAAAATTAATGTTAAACGATCAAATGTATTTTGTTTTAACATTTGATTTAGTAGTTATATTTAGTTTAGGAGATATACATCAAATATTATAATACTATTTAAAATTAACAAAATCCCATGACACAAGAACTTGAACTGTAAAGATTTATCTTTTGAATAGTGATATATGTTAGAATAGTGAATTAGTGTTATATAAAACAGGTGCGACAAATAATAAGATCGTGTATACTAACTATCAAAAAATAATATTTAGAGATATTATTTTTATTAAAAAAATGTAATTCTTGAAATTTTCAAAACCATGACTTGTCGACTGCCGGGTAATTTCCTAGTATACGATTTTTGGAAAAAGAGGCAATTTAAAGATTTTTAAAGTTGAATTTCTTGCTAAATATATTTTTCTTTATCATGATTTTACAAAAAAATCTTATAGTTTTATAAGAAAAGTATCTGCTTACTACCATACATACCTATGTTAATAAAAAATTCACCTATTTTTCAGCAAAAAAAGGCATTTTATACGTTCACAAGGAGTTACGCGCATGCTGCGTAGTACAAGACAGAGAGAGAGCCTGTTCTCTTTGGGCCTCAGGGTTATTGTGAACTAAAAACCCCTAAATATTGAATAGACGTCATGTATAAGTGTCCTATCAGTTTTTTTAATTAATCTATGATCTTAACAATTTGAGTCGCATATACTTCCAACAATGAATTCTGCTAAATAAGTTTTCAGGTTGTAACTTGTAAGTATACATTGAATTAGAAAATTAGAGACACAGTATTTGAAAATCAAATTCTAAATCAATAGTTAAATGAAAGTTTTAAACGTAACGGTACTTTGTGTCCAAATTTTATACAGGGTGTCCCAATAAACATGGGAATTCAGTGACAAATTCGATATCGTCTTTATAAATAATTCTTTGATTTAGTATAGTGATACCTACTGAGAAAGCTATAATTTGTAAAAGTTCCGTCTGCTATGTTCACAATTTGTTTGTTTATGTTTTGACTGCATACTGTTGTACTTAGTAAAACAAGAAAATTGCAGTACACAAACAGTGTAAACCTATCCGTCTTCACTGTTCATCTGTGGAGGCATTATAAACACATCTTTACAGTCTTTTACCCTTTTCATAAAATAAACTCTAGCAGGCATAATAATATTATGGCTTTTGAAATTTGGTATAACAATGCTAATTCAATACAAAGACGATATCCAATTCGTCACTGAATTCCCATGTTTTTTGGGACACCCTGTATTAACTGCGTTCAGATATCATAAATATACAATAATGTTACAAATTAAATGAAAGCAAATTGAAAAAAAACTACGATTTTAATTTAATTCCTTTAATGTATACAAAGTAAGGGTTTGTTTTTTTGACGTAGATGTCTATTCACTAAGAATAGGTCGGTTTGGAATTCCCTTTAAGAATTGAACGAAATTATATGTTTTGCATGTGTTTATAATTTGATAGATAACGGAACTTCAGTAAATATAGTCAAGGTTATTTTTGAAATATCCATCTATCAGAGATAAATATATCCATCTATTAGAGATAAATATATATTCATCTACAGGGTGTCCCAAAAAACATGGGAATTCAGTGACGAATTCGATATCGTCTTTGTTACGAATTAGCATTGTAATACCTAATTTCAAAAGCCATAATATTATTATGTCTGCTAGAGTTTATTTAATGAAAAGGGTAAAAGACTGTAAAGATGTGTCTATAATGTCTCCGCAAGATGAACAGTGAATACGGACAAGTTTACTCTGTTTGTATACTGTAATTTTCTTGTTTTACTAAGTACAACCGTATGCAGTCAAAACATAGACAAACAAGATGTAAACATAGCAGACGAAACTCTTACAGATTACAGCTTTCTCAGTAGGTATCACTATACTAAATCAAAGAATTATTTGAAAAGACGATATCGAATTCGTCACTAAATTCCCATGTTTTTTGGGACACCCTGTATCAGAGATGAATACATCCACATATCAGAGATAAATATATCCATCTATTAGAGATAAATATATCCATTTATGAGAGATAATTTATCCATCTATTAGAGATAAATATATCCATTTATCAGAGATAAATATATTCATCTTTCAGAGATAAATATATCCAGTTATCAGAGATAATTTATCCATCTATTAGAGATAAATATATCCATTTATCAGAGATAAATATATCCAGCTCTCAGAGAAAAATATATATAAATATATCCATCTATCAGAGATAAATATATCCATCCATCAGTGATATCAATCTGCCATTTATTAAAGATAAATATCCAAGTTTATAACAATTGATTCGCTCTTATTTTACAGGAGACGGACTAATATAACAAAAACCTCTTTTTTTGAATTTATAGAAATCTGAATCCTGTGTCCGAATTTTATGAATTTAAGCCGCGTCTCAAATTCCCCAAAAACTGGTTTCAATTGAGGGCCGGCTTAAATCTTGAAAAATTTAATACAAATTTATGTGAAACCAACCATATTCGAGCCGCGGTTTAAATTTATGCCGCGGCTCAAATTCTTTAAATTCGGCTTCTGATGTACATAAATAATTAAATCATATTCAGGAATTGTCACTTAGAAAACTATGTATCTCGATCAATTATTTTTTTTCTCTAGAATTCCAGTAAATTTGTCTCTTAACTGTAGTTTTTGTTGATTTTTATTCTGATATAATAAGCCTTTTTTACAGTGATAACCAGAAATATCTAGAATAGGAAGACAACTTTAAGAATAAAGCTATAACTTGTTTAAGGAGCACGAGAAATAGCAATTGTGCAGTGTAAACAGAACCATTTCAATAAATTAGTGATGTAATAACTGTCAAACAAAACTATTTACTTTGTAACAGCATCAAATATAAGTAATTAAGTATTCCTATAGTATCGGCTTCCTAAACCATTGTTATGTTCATTAATAAATTAAAATTAAGAATTTTATTTTCTAAAAATAAATTTTGTGAATATTATTCACCCTTGAACTTGAAATCTGGAACTTAAGAACTTAAAGAAATTCAGAGCTCAAGCAGTATCATATTGACACATACGCTGATACATGCATATGTTTATGTCAAAACATTCCTGTGTTAAAGCAAAAGTTAACAACTTTTGACTACTAATAATCACATTCTTGTTTTTAAAGAAATAATTTGATAAAATATTTAATATCTAGAAAATAAAGTTATCGGCGTAATTTTTACAGACCCTCCATTTAAAAAGAGAATGACACTAAATTAAAGAAAATCTTAAAAACATTGCCAAATTTTTAATAAAACATTCATTTTTTTAATCAAACTATGGCAGATTTCATTTTGGAACTTTTACTTTTTTACGGCATTCGAAAATTTTTGAAAAGCTAAAAAATGAAAATTTTTGAAAATGCTGAAAAAATTAAAAGAATAAAATGATAAATCTGAACTAGAACTTTTCCAGAATTAGCTTTCTAAACCTAGAATTAAAATTTTTATTTAACATAAAAACTATTTAAATACTATTAAATAATATTACACTGCCATTATTTTGTTGTATAATATTGTTTGCGGTTGACCCTGTCTAAGACAGATATAATATAGAAGTTATCAAACTTACAAAATTCCTTTCTTTCGTAACTTTCCCGGCGGAAGGAAGTAAAATTTTGTCGGATCTACCTCCTGCAGCTTGTATAGGCTCTAGTACAACTCTAACTTTCCATAAATCTGCACGAGAAACTGAATTAGACACATTTCAATGCAAAAATCTTAGAGTTTGTTTTGCAAAATAAACCTTAAAAAATTAAAGATAGCAATAGGTTTTGGGCTTTACGCAAAAGTGAATTGACAAGACAAATCAAGGGTCAAAGCATGGTAACAATTTAAAACAGGCCCAATCTCAACAATGGATAAATCTCATAGTTGTGTAAATCGTGTGATATGATTACAGTGAATAAAGTAGATTGTTTTGTTTAATTCATTGTAATTCTTTTGTGTGCAGACTGATTTAAGATCAATAAAAGCAAACCTGAAAAACCTTATTATAAACTGCTTTAATTCTAGGATTTTCAAACTTCATACATTTCTCTTCTACGTATTTTCACCATGTGCAGGCCCTGCTTGAACCTTTTCCCATTTTATTCAATCGGCCTCAAAATAAACTTAAAATCTTAAAAGATTTTGACAAGCACTTTTAGCTTTGGATTATTCATGTTTTTTTGGTATGTATATATATATAATATTAAATATATATATCCTCTTAAATATATATATATTTTAAACATCTAAAATGTATATTTAAACTGAAAAAAGTTGAAAATTCTAGATATAATTATATATATCTGTCCTTGAACTGGAAGCAAAAGTAAAGAAAGAGACAATAAAAACATATATATTTAGACTGGTGCAAAAAAGTATGACCTTTATAAGCTTTCAATGCATACTGCAGTTGAAATTAACTGCTTTAAAAGCAAAAGCTTTCTTAACTTTAAATACTTGTTTAATTTATACAATTGATAGTATTTACTGTCAAACTTATAAAATAGATATGATCAGAAATTAACAAAAGCAAAAACTTGATACTATTCTATTTAAATTTTATTTATTTTTTTGCAAGAGTTAAAAAAGAAGATCGACTATTTTTTTTCTAAGCTAGATGTTACAACTTTTGCAGATATAAAATAGTTTAAACATGTTGTTAATAAGGAATACTATTAGAGGTAATGATTAAACTTGTATACAGTGAGAACCAGAAAACTCTGGAATAGAAAGATAACTTTTAGATTCAAGATATGACTTTAAATAGTCCTATGAATATGAGACACAGCAATTGTGCAGTGTAAACAGACCTATATCAGTTAATAAGTTACTAGTAAATATAATTTGCATTGTAGGCGACATCAAATACTCTTAAATATCGCTTGAATGTCGTCTTCATTTTGCAGAGTTTTCTGGTTCTCGTGTATAATTATGTAGATATCAAAATGATCATTTGTGAATTATAAAGTCTTTTTCGAACTGAGATTTTTGTTATGATTTGAATTGCAAGGAAAGTAAAGATAAGTTTATTTTATTTTCCTAGGCTAAGGAATTGAGTCTTTGCCATAAACTTTGAATTTATAATTCCTATATCTTTGGAACCCAAAGACGTAAATCTTTGATATTTCAAACTTATATTATTTGATCTAACAGAATCCATAGTTTGAAATATTTAAGGTCTATGACATTGGAATCCAAATGTATAGGCTTTAGAAAAGCAGAGTTTGTGGCAAAGACTCAATTCCGTTGTTCCGTAAAAAAAAACATTTTGTTTTACTTTAAAACGTTCTGTCCTGCATGGGAACGTATTACTTGCCTTAAACTCTAGTTTTGTAATATTTATAAACTTGCAAAGGTTTACGATATTGTGGCAAAGAAATAAAGATTTAAAAGTTAATCTAATACTTTCTTTAAACTCTCCTAATATGTCTTAATAAACTTAACAAGCAGATATATTTCAATGACCTATTTTGTACGGGAAATAAATAATCATAAGATCCCGCGATAAAAGTAAAATTTAGGGAAAATAGGAAAGGTAATTTTGATCAAAATTTAGGTAACATATCTTGATCTCGCTCCCTGAACGTACATAAGTAATAAATAGTTTAAAAGCTAGATGAAAATACAGTTCGTAAAAATTTATTTTTTTTGTTTATTAAAAAAAATAGTTTATTATTTTTCTCCTAAAGAAATTGAGTCTTTGTAACAAACTTTGATTTTCAAATACCTATATTTTTTCCACCTGATGGTGAAAACCTATGATATTCTTTCATCTAACAGAATTCATAGTTTGAGATATATAAGGTCTATATCATTGGATTGCAAAGATTTAGAGATTAGAAAATCATAGTTTGTGACAAAGACTCTATTCCTTCAACCAATTTATTTGTGAAGGTGCGATGAGTAGAATAATGGAGAAAACAAGAAAACTACCCTGGAGGGGTATACTGGCACTAATAGGTAAACACTAAACTACCCTGGCGGGGTATACTGGCACTAATAGGTAAACATGAAACTACCCTGGCGGGGTATACTGGCATTAATAGGAAAACATGAAACTACTCTGGCGGGGTATACTGGCACTAATAGGTAAACATGAAACTACCCTGGCGGGGTATACTGGCACTAATAGGTAAACCAAACTAATTTAACCTGGCAGTCCTTTTTTTCGGTTATATCAAAAAACAAAAACACGCCATAAACATAAATAATCTAATTATTTTTAAATTGGTGCATTTCCATTTAAAGTTTTCATTTTAAGCAATTACAAAGCTGTTTAATTTTTGTACGATTCTCAGTTGTACTTTTATCTTAGAAATTCTTTGTTTCAACTGGTTTTAATTACAAGAATTTGAATATAGCTTGTTTTGTTTTTTCTAATTAAAGAGGCTGTAGACGAATTTTCTAATGTTCCTTTATGGTGTGTCCGATTCACAACGGTTCCCTTTAAATTGTAGACTGAACAAGGATGATGCACTTTTCATTATTTATCCATTACAGATACGCTTGTAATTGTTGATAATGTTTCCGGTAATTTGAACATCATTTTAGAGATAAACACCGATATACGACACAGGTAAAAGGGGGTACCGTTGTGAATCAGTCAGGCTTCTCTTTCATTAAAGGGTTATTTGAAATTATATATACAGTCCCTTTCAGGTATTTCATACAAATGGCTGAGGGTTCTTTTTATGGAAAGTTCTAATTGGTTTTATACAGACTAGGCTGTTAGGGCCTATCATTTCAATTATTAACAATTTCTGTTTGTATACAAAAATTCGTGGATTTTCATCAAAATTTAATGAAAATCGAGTTTTGTTCGAGGCTACTTTTGAAATTTTGATGATTTATAAATCTTCCAAGGTCCAACACAAAATTTGGGCGAGATCGGTTCAGCCGTTTTGACGTTTATTGGATAAGACAGACACCCAAAGGGACTCTTATTTCTTTTAAGAAGAGATTAAGTTTAACCGATTTTTGTTGTTAAAAGAATGATTGAATTTTGTTTTTTTTAGGTGGATTTTTTATACAGTTGACACTCGGTTCTTTTTACTCTTTTGGAAACATGATGACATACCTCACTTCATATATGAGGTAACATAAAATAGGTTTTTTTTGACAAAGTTCTTTAATTTATTTTGCAAAGGGAGTGAGTTGCATATTGTTCACTACACAATTTATCGATATTTGTAATATTATATTAATGTCTAAATGCAAAGGAATTGGAATTTACAAATCCGAGTTTGTGGCAAAGACTCAATTCCTTTGTCTTAAAAATGTATGCATTAAGTAAACTTTATAATGAGTTAAAAATTGTACGTTATTTTCTAGAAAGATCTATACAAAAATACATTTCTCACATTTTTACCTAATGTTTAGAAAAAACGGTTCTCCTGATCTTACATATGGAGACTTCATAATAGTACAATCAGTCTGGGGGATGACCCAAGGGATCTCTATGCCATTATCTGGCTTTATCATCAGGTAGTCAGGACTATAGAGGATTATAATCAGGTAGTCAGGACTATAGAGAATTATCATCAAGTAGTCAGGACTAAAGAGGATTATAATCTCGTAGTCAGGACTATAGAGAGAGATCTAACATACTGATGCATTTTTGTCATTAGGTTGGATTTTAAAGGATCATAATCAGGTAGTCAGGACTATAGAGGATTATTATCAGATAGTCAGGACTATAGAGGATTATAATCAGATAGTCAGGACTATAGAGGATTATAATCAGATAGTCAGGACTATAGAGGATTATAATCATATAGTCAGGACTATAGTGGATTATAATCAGATAGTCAGGACTATAGGGGATTATAATCATATAGTCAGGACTATAGTGGATTATAATCAGATAGTCAGGACTATAGTGGATTTCAATCTGGTAGTCAGGATTATAAAGGATTATAATCACATAGTCGGGACTATAGAGGACTATAATCAGGTGGTTAGGACTATAGAGGATTATAATTAAATAATCACGACTTATAGAGGGTTTTAATCAGGTAGTCATGATCAATTAATATATTTGTGTATCAAATTATCTTGTGAAATTTACTTTTCTTTTCTAAATGATTTGAATTTCAGGTTTGTTGGAGTTCGTCCTGCAATGTTTATAGGATGCACTTTATTTAGTCTTGGTACTGCAGCTACTTACTTTACCTTAAACCAGGTAAATAATAAGGAATCAAGGAAGACGACGAATCAAATGTTTTAGGAAGACGACATTTAGTAAATAATTTGACGAATAGAACGGAGTCAATGGAAGTGAATTTTTGTTACAAATTTAAATGTTCTGATTTCTGATATGATCTCTGATGTCTTTGCAACCTGTAAGGTACTATAATGATCGGTTTCTTCTTGCAAAACATCTGAATTTTTATCCAAAAAGTAAATGGGTTCTTGCCATCAATTAATTTATTTTTTTATTTATTATTTATTTATTATCCTTATATCTTTATATCCTGGTACCAAATTAAACAAATTACGAGACAGAGTTGAAACACAAAGACTAAGCTAAACCAATTCTCTTGTGCCCCTGGGTTAAGCTGAAGAAATATGCTTTTACTTATAGTCTATGCTGTTCAACCACAGTGTGTTCCACGAAATATGACAGTAGCAAGACGATTTTGAAGTCGTCTTTGAAATTTTAATTTATTTTTGGCATTCAGTCGTCGACCCAACTTACCATGTACGATTCTTGAAAAGTAACCACAAATTCTCCTGATTCCCTGGCATATCCAAAATAAATGTGTTCTACTTGTTTGTACTTTCAATATTCCCGGAGATATTAAGAATTGCGTTCAGATTTCAATTTGTTTTTGTTAACTGTCAAAATCTGAATGAAATTCTTCATATCTCCGGTAATATTCAAAACACAAAAAAGGCAGACCACATTTTGGAAATGCCTCGTAAGTCGTATTTTGTGATTATTAACTCTACAATTTTACAACTAAATGAAACAAATTTGTTATACGATCAAAGACGTCCTTTATTTCGTCTTGCTAGTGTCATGCTTCTTGGGACACCCTGTAATCTGTTATCTGTATGTCTTGTTATTCCTTAAATTTGAGATTACACCATACCTATTATTAATTATCGTGTAGTTCTACACAACCCTCCCTAATCTAATCGTTTTTACATATTTTTAGGCTGGCAAACTCTTAGGTCAGAAAAATCTAAGGTTGGAAATTATTTCGGTCCGTTTCCTCTAGCTGTTGGAATATAATCCTGGTTCCTTGCTTGGGAGCTAGTTAAAAAAGCAATATTTTCTATTTTAGTCCGTGTGGATGGTAGCATTTACTTATGGATTTGTATCAGCATTTGGACAGGTAGAGTTTACAAATTGAGATAAAGAACAGTAATTATCTATATTAGTTACTGAACCATATCTAGATAGAGAACTAGTAACACAGGTTACTACTATATATATTAGTTACTGAACCACATCAAGATAGAGAACTAGTTCCACAGGTAACTATTTTATATTAGTTACTGAACCATATCTAGATAGAGAACTAGTACCGCAGGTTACTACTATATAAAAGTTACTGAACCATATCTAGATAGAGAACTACCATTATATGTTAATTACTGAACCATATCTAGAGAGCTACTTTAAATATTGTTTAACCAAGATATTATCATATTTCTGGACAAAATCTCTGAAAGCTTTATTTTACATATTACAGACAAAAACAAAGAAATATACCCTTTACACTTTTTAAAATTTGAATTATTTACTGTATGTGTTTGCAAAATATCCCTTTAATAGTAAATATTTTGAGTAGGATGAAGGGGAAGAGGAACACCAGGATGTATTGATGGATCAGACAGATGGAGAAAAATATCTTACTCCAAGGTATCCTTTCAATTTTACAAAAGGTTTTTTTAAAGTGCCATTTCTTATTCATTTTCTGAATTTTTCCAAACAGATACTTCCTATAGTTAATCTAGGTCAAACTATGTCGGATTAAACATTTTTAGCATTTTTAAGTCAGTTAGTTTCAGACAATTCCTTTGAAAATTGTGATTTATTAAAAATCTAATTTTGACATTTGGTATAGACTGTTCTATGGTCTGAAATAATTTGGAAAAATTAATTTAAAATTTTTTGTAGAGTATCATTTCGTCTTGCGTGGATAATCTGCCGCGAATTCCCATAAAATATTATATGTCGAATTCTGTACTTCTCTTCCCAGTGTCAAAATTCCGTTTAAAGATATTGAAACTTTACATCTAGTTGTAAAGGTTTATGGAAATAAAAGCAAGAAATTGATTTTTTTTTATTGCGAAAGCTATTATTTCTTTTAAAAGGGGATCAAGGGGGTGGCGGGGGACAGGTTACTATTTTATATTAGTTACTGAACCATATCTAGATAGAGAACTAGTAACACAGGTTACTACTATATATATTAGTTACTGAACCACATCAAGATAGAGAACTAGTACCACAGGTTACTATTATATATTTGTAAAAAGTTGTTTAATTTCATCCAAGCTCAGTTTGATTACGAATATAAGTTTAAAGTTTCTAAATACAAATCTAAGTTCAATTGCATCATGATGCATATTAGTATATATTTGTATAAATGAATATGAAAACGGGCATTTAGGACTTATGGAATTAAACAAAGGGAACAAAAGTTTCAAACAAATATTTTGATATCAATTTGACTTTTAGAAAAAACATTTTCCCGTTTTCCTAACTTTATACTGACCTTTTATTGGCAAAGTTTGAACTTTATATTTTGCTAAACTTTTTTAATGCTTTTAAATTTAAATTTTTAGGATTTAAAGAGATACGAAATCATTCGCAGTTTTTCGTTGTAAATATATCTCTGCGGTTCAATTGGGAGGATTTTCTCAAATCGTTTTAATTGAAATGATTGGTGTCTATCATGGTATAGGGTCTTGCTTTGTTCAATTTATGGATTTTAAAAACATAATAGAAATTTAAAAACAAAATTTAAAACTTAATATTAAAGGGTCAGTATTCCCCGTAGAAATTGCATCATGAAACACCAGGTTCTTTGATTTATTATTCTGTACGTTACTGCGTATTGATGTGTTATATATTAATCCAATATGATATGAGACACTCTATAATATGTTTGCAGGGAATAGCACTGATTCCTACCATGACTATTGGTATGCGATGGTTCCCTGAGAGGAAGGGGATGGCTATGGGAGTCGTGGTCGGAGGCTTCGGAGGAGGGGCATTCATCTTCAATCAGATTCAGGTAAATTAATGGATAAATAATAAATAAATAAATAAACAAATAAATATCAAAATCAAACAAAAAAAACTTTAAATAAAATGTTTTTAAAAGTACAAGAAATCCCATTCCATGTGAGCTAAAGGGTGTCCCATTGAAAAATTTAGAAACGTCTTAAAATGCGTGTATAAAAAATGCGGAATGACTGATGGGCAATGAGTTGTGTCACTTTTTAAACAATTTTGGTCATTAGACAGCTATCAAAGACGATCTTTAAGTTGTCTCTAAACTATCATGATTAGTGGGTCACCCTGTAAATAACTCGGAGAATTCTGTATCTCAAACCTTCTTTTCCTTGACTTACATTGAAAAAAAGACAAAAAAGTCATAAAATCAATTTCTGTTCTTTATTTGTTATCAGTCTGTAAGCCTAGAATTAAAGTTTTATCCCTAAAGCTTCCCGAAATATAGATTATAGATTCTTTAATGCATATTATAGTTTTTAAGTGTTTTTGTGCCTATAAATAAAATTTCTTTCATAAATGATTTAAAATTCAACTATGACACTTCTTACAATATTATTGTTTAGACTTTTATACTACTCAATCCAAACAATATTATTGTTTAGACCGCTATACTCAACCCAAACAATATTATTGTTAAGACCGCTATACTCAACCCAAACAATATTATTGTTAAGACCGCTATACTCAACCCAAACAATATTATTGTTTAGACCGCTATACTCAACCCAAACAATATTGCACCAGAAGGAGAATACTTTACAGGTGTGTTCTAAACTACATTACCTTAAAGTGAGTGAACGCGCGCTAATTCTGGAAAGGGGTTGAGAAGCTTTAAAGGGAATAACCGACAAAGAAGTTCAGTTTAGTTATTGTAAACAAAAGCAGATATTTGTTGCTTTATGTCATCTTATAAATTCGATCAGAGGGAGCACACAATAGGGCTGAGAACGGTTGAATAAATCAAGAGAATTTTCATTTCTTATTTTGAATGAAATATGATTAACATCGTTTTCTCTTTTTACTGAATAGTTGGTGGTTTATTGTCTCTGAAAGAGACGAAATTACCAACGTGGCTCGAGCTCAAAAATAGAGATATGATATGAACCATGCATTGTGCTTAGATTTTGAAAGGAAAGTATTTTAACATAAGAATGGAATCTTGGAATCTCTGATTTATTTTCGCATCCCTTTATCTCTGCAACCTGAAGTCATAGACCTTTTATATTTCAATCTATTAATTCTGTTAGATCAAATAGTCTAAGTTAGAAATATCAAAGGTTTACACCATTAGGTGGCAAAAATATAAAGAGTAGAACATTGGAGATTGTGACAGAAACGTAATTTCTTTATAGAGGCTGAATAGGAATCCTTGAAGCATTATTTTACCAAATCAATTGCAAAACAATTCCAAAGATTTCAACTTTATTGTTGTCCAGAAAACATGGTTTTATCACAGATGCTCTCTAGTATAGTAATAGTAATAGTTTTTGATTTATTTTACTTGATTTTTCAGTTAAATGGATGAAATTTGAAAGTTAAAAGGCCAAACCATTAGATGAATCTTTATTTTAAAAAACAAATATTTAAAAGACCTTAGTCTGTTCCAATAATACCACCTTTTAATTCAAAATATTCCAATAAATGGAAAAACCTGTTTTACAAAAGGAGCAATGGAGGAATTCTAGAATATTAAAACCAAAGAAACTCCACTGACAGATTTGTATATTAGAATAACTTTAAAAACTTTGAGAAGGTTAAAAATGGTCCTACAATCTTAAGCTAAAAAAGTCTGTCAAAATAAACAAAATTATAATTGAAAAAATATTTAATTCTTCTAGATATTAGACATTTAAACCTTAGAAAAGATTCAATGATACCGTAATCAGGAATAAGATGTTTTTCCTTTCACTCCTACATATATCTTACTTGGAATTAAACTCGAATCTAAATTTTCTATTTCAGATCCTGAATTACTGGACCGAGTTCCAAGATTGATGCTAATCCTTGGAGGAATATATTTAACTATACAGATGATAGCCTGCTCTTTAGTTACTGAACCACATCTAGATAGAGAACTAGTACCACAGGTTACTATTATATATTAGTTACTGAACCACATCTAGATAGAGAACTAGTACCACAGGTTACTATTATATATTAGTTACTGAACCACATCTAGATAGAGAACTAGTACCACAGGTTACTATTATATATTAGTTACTGAACCACATCTAGATAGAGAACTAGTACCACAGGTTACTATTATATATTAGTTACTGAACCACATCTAGATAGAGAACTAGTACCACAGGTTACTATTATATATTAGTTACTGAACCACATCTAGATAGAGAACTAGTACCACAGGTTACTATTATATATTAGTTACTGAACCACATCTAGATAGAGAACTAGTACCACAGGTTACTATTATATATTAGTTACTGAACCACATCTAGATAGAGAACTAGTACCACAGGTTACTATTATATATTAGTTACTGAACCACATCTAGATAGAGAACTAGTACCACAGGTTACTATTATATATTAGTTACTGAACCACATCTAGATAGAGAACTAGTACCACAGGTTACTATTATATATTAGTTACTGAACCACATCTAGATAGAGAACTAGTACCACAGGTTACTATTATATATTAGTTACTGAACCACATCTAGATAGAGAACTAGTACCACAGGTTACTATTATATATTAGTTACTGAACCACATCTAGATAGAGAACTAGTACCACAGGTTACTATTATATATTAGTTACTGAACCACATCTAGATAGAGAACTAGTACCACAGGTTACTATTATATATTAGTTACTGAACCACATCTAGATAGAGAACTAGTACCACAGGTTACTATTATATATTAGTTACTGAACCACATCTAGATAGAGAACTAGTACCACAGGTTACTATTATATATTAGTTACTGAACCACATCTAGATAGAGAACTAGTACCACAGGTTACTATTATATATTAGTTACTGAACCACATCTAGATAGAGAACTAGTACCACAGGTTACTATTATATATTAGTTACTGAACCACATCTAGATAGAGAACTAGTACCACAGGTTACTATTATATATTAGTTACTGAACCACATCTAGATAGAGAACTAGTACCACAGGTTACTATTATATATTAGTTACTGAACCACATCTAGATAGAGAACTAGTACCACAGGTTACTATTATATATTAGTTACTGAACCACATCTAGATAGAGAACTAGTACCACAGGTTACTATTNTTGAGACACCCTGTATAGTAAAATCCATTTAGGCAAGCTGTAAAAACTCGAGATTTCTATTTGCTCTGGATCACAAGGTTTTGCGCTGTTCTAATTACACAGTCTGTATCAGGCTTTTATAAGGTAAATCAATCTAGTAATTACGATTTTTTTATTTTATTTCAAAGAAAACGGATTGAAAGTTATAAATAAATCCATTTGAAAATTGAAAATGTTCTAAAATCTTATCCACAGCTGGTTCTCTATAAACATTCATGAGAAATCAAAATAGTTTTATATTTTCAAATTGAAAATTCAACGTTATCAAAGACAATTTTCATCAACTATAATTTTACATTTTATTCTAATTCGAATTCACGGCATTTCTGATTTGTCTAATATGCAAAATTCGACCCTTTATATAAATGTACAATGCACAAAAAGTTACATAAACTGAATCTCGTGTTTTAAGGCATTTGGGCAAACATTTATAGCAGATGATCATTTCTTGTCTTTTGTTGGAGCAGTTAGTTCAATATTTAACTGTTCTGGGAGGCTCTTCTATGGACTTCTAATGGACAAGTAAGAATGGTTAACCTTAGATTCTAAAAAAATATTTAAACTTATTAAAAATCACTTTTCAGTACAATTTAGACGTTATTTATTACATAAACAGATTACTAGTATTAACCTTGTAACTAATCATTGTTTTTTTGTCACCTTAATGTTGTATTTCAACATTATTACAACATTTATAACATTTAAGTCTGAGGCGAGTAAACCAAGTGAAGAATTTTTGAATAACTATAGAAGAATGTTATCATAATTGTGACTTGAATTCAAGTGTTCTAAAAAGACGTTTATCATATTCCAAACCTTCCAATTGCTTGACTAAACATGTTGTAAACAAGATATATTCTAATTTTGTTTATTGTTCAGAAGTAGATTTCCAAGTAAAGGCCTTGTGGAACCTTTCCTAAAGCTGTTAAGAAGTAATCATCATTAAACCTTCTGGAAAGGAACTGCGATTTCGCCACAAAATTGAATTTTCTCATTCCTTTATCTTTGCAACCTGGTGATGTAAACTTATGACATTTCTAACTCAGACTATCTGATCTAAAAACATGCATGGTTTGAAATATCAAGAGCCAGTTGCAACATCGGATTGCAAATATATAGGAATTTTAAAAAATAGAGTTTGTGGCAAAAACTCATTTCCTTAATGGTGGATTCTTTCTCAGCCTCTTTCTACCTCCTAGATGCTTTACAGAGCTGGGCCGGTGTCATACCAAGCTCTGTGTATTATCTAAGGGTTAGATTTGTTTAAAAATCAGTCAAGAACGGTTCCGCCGTTTATTTTCAAAATTGTTTGATGGGTAACTGCAGCTTCAGTAAAGGTTCCAAGGCCTTTACGGGTCCAAATTGATTCTGAACCCTATTCAGGAGTAACTACAGAGCTGCAATGATGTTTGAGATGGTTTGTTTAACCCTTCTCGTCTCCTCTCTACCCTTAACATCTTATGGTGGAAGGTATATGTGAATATAATTTCCTGACTAATCCCTTTATTTCACTATTTCTTTTCCAACTTAGGTTTTTAAGTCTATTCCTGAATCCTTATCTTTCAAACTTTTTCAAATTCAATTCAAACTTTTAAAACTGATCTTGAATCGTAGCAGACAGTCTGTGTACAATGCAGCATTTTTTTGGTAGATTTTTGTTCACAAAGGTTCCAAAAAAATAATTGCGTTTTAGTTCTAAAGTATTTTTTATATAATTAATTAAACGGTTTCTATAGAAAACTGTTTTATAAAATGAAAATATTTCAGAATATTATTCGGAATCTGGATTTGGGGTGTTTACTTTACATTCCCTGGAACCTTCTCCACACAACCTGCTGTTACTACCCAGGTAGTTACCTAGATGGTAAGCTGGCCAGCTTGTCATATAGTCAGCTTTCAGTTGGTTCACTTGTTAGTTGATCAACCAGTCAGCTGGTTAGCTGGTCTGCTGGTTCACAACAGATCCTTAAAAGCTTTCTGATCAAGTATAATTAAATATTAATACCTTAATTATAAACACCTTTAAACACAGAAAACTTTAAATAAAGGTTAGAGGTTACCGTTGTGCATCGGGCATTGTCATCTGTGCATGGAGGGTCACTTCAAATTACGCTTACAGTCCCTTTAAATAATTTAATCTTTTTCTTTAGGCTTTTGGGCATACCTATGGTGGAACTATTTATGGATTTCTCTTCACTTCTGATATTGTGAACAATTTCCTTGTAGGGGCTCTTAGGTAACCATTCACAGGGCTCACAATCTAAAAGCCAGATTAAGTTTTGATCGGGACTTGATCTGATTTGAGCCCTGTTCACTGTTCAAACAGTTAATAGAGTTTGAACCATTTCTATAACTCTGATCTGGTATTATCCCAACTTGCATAATTAGGATCAAGTCCAGATCAAAATAGATACAGGCTTTTAGACTCCAAGTAAAGAATAGCAGTTTTATTAATAATTTTAAGATTCTAACCATGTAGTTTTTGTAAATTGTAAACCATCCATCTTCTTTAATGCCTTTATACACGAAAAATGAATTATACAGATTTGATGGTAAAAAAAATGATATTTTAAATTGATCTTTTATCTAATTTCAAAAACCCGAAAAGTTTAAAAGTTTAAATGATTTCTGTGCTTCCTCTTGTCTTGAAGTTTGAATATATTTCTTTACTTGCCCCGCAGCAAATGTAAAATTTAAGAAAACAAATGCTTTCACTGCAAACTAGAAAACTAATTTGCTTCTACTGGAAACTAGAAAACTAACACTTGTACTGGAAACTAGAAAACTAATGCTTGCACTGCAAACTAAAAAACTAATGGTTCTACTGGAAACTAAAAAACTAATACTTCTACTGGAAACTAAAAAACTAATGGTTCCACTAGAAACTAGAAAACTAATACTTCTACTGGAAACTAGAAAACTAATGGTTCTTCTTGAAACAAGAAAACTAATGCTTCCACTGAAAACTAGAAAACTAATACTTCTACTGGAAACTAGAAAACTAATACTTCCAATGGAAACTATAAATTCAATGCTTCTACTGGAAACTAAAAAACTAATACTTCCAATGGAAACTAGAAAACGAAAGTTTACGCTACTTTAAGCTTCAATCCTTTTTATCCTTTTAAAGCTAAAAAAATTGACATTTAATGAATAACTAGATAAAGGTTTCTATTAGTTTTTGTAAATGCCGATGATTTATGGATAGTGATTAGTTCAATGCTTAAATCTATTAGCTCTTATAATTTTAGTTAAGGATTCGAGCCTTAGCCACTAACTCTGATCTTTTAACCCAATGTTTAAAACATCAAAGGTGTACACCATCCGGTTGCAGAGATATAGAGATGATAAATTGGAGTTGTGACAAAAACTCAATCCCTTTAAAATGTCAGAAATAGAAGAAAAAAAATCTTTTTAACCTGCTTCCCATTGTCTACATGTCAGAATATTGCCTTGTTAACTCTTTTAGTTTTGTAATTAACAGCGGCATTGTAAAATGCAAATTAAAACTTTAATAAAACTATAAATTATTTTCCTTTTTCATTCCCGCTTAATTTTGTCCATCACCACTTTTGTCCTGACTGGTTTGAGCTCCATCTCAAAATATCCAGCCTTAACTCTTGACCATGGACATCAATAGATTATATTTTTATTTTCAGCCAGAGTTTACTGAAGTATGGAGGCTGGAATGGAATGTTTCTTTGTCTATCTGTTTTCAGTTTGATTGCATTCATCATAACCCTCTTCTTTCCAAAGTAAGGTTTTCAAAATAAAATCTTGTTATAGAGAATTATTTTGATGAATGTTCAATATTCTGTCACTAATATAAATCCTTGTTAAAACATCAATATTTATCCTTCACAAATTTTTATCTTTACATTATCAAATATTCAAACTATCCTGAACTTTTTGGTTTAAGGTCAAACCACATTTTTTCAGGATTTTCTCTAAAAAAAGATTTAAACAAAAGATTTTATTGTAGTTTAATTAACAGTGTAGATAAGATCATGACTAAACAGAAGAAAATGCAATGGTTTGTTTTTCAGGAACCCATGCCCAGAAAACTACTTACAAACAGCGAAAAATGTAAGTTAAATAAAATGGCTTAGTTTTATTTCCTACATAGATAGCATTTTTCCTAATTCAGGGAGCAGAGAACGATTCTTTGGAGAAAGGTTTAATCAGTATACCTGGAGACCATGAGAACGAAAGAAATACCAAGATAAGTCTTGCACTTGGAGATAATATTATCCAGACTGATGACGACTCCGTACACTCCCTCAAAACTCCAATCAATGTTGACACTCCTACTTCTATCAAAACTCCCACCTCCAACACTCCCTCCTCTGTCGACACTCCCTCCTCTGTCGACGCTCCCTCCTCTGTCGACAATCACTCCACTGTCGACACTCCCCCCTCTGTCAACACTCACTCCTCTGTCAACACTCCCATCTCTGTCAAAACTCCCGCCTCTGTCAACACTCCCACCTCAGTCAACAATCCCACATCTCTCTACACTTACACCCCTATCCCTGCAGATAATATTGTAGCTGTAGTAAAGTGTTAAAGATATAGACACGCTACAGTATTGTTGATAAAGGTTAGTAAGTAAATTACTTTTCACAAAAATGATCCACCGTGATTTTTTATATTTAGCACTTTTCAAGATATTCAATTTAAAAACATTGTTTCTGTTTCAGAACACACTGTACACACACTACAGGAGAAAAGTATAGAAGAAACGTATCCTACTACCAAATAATTGCACGCCGAAAGTCTGATTCTCCCACAAAGAAGCTGATTCTACCATCAAGAAGCTGATTCTACCGTCTAGAAGCTGATTCTACCATCAAGAAGCTGAGTCTACCATCAAGAAGGTGATTCTAACATTCAGTAGCTGATTCTACCGTCTAGAAGCTGATTCCATCATTTTGAAGCTGATTCTACCATCTAGAAGCTGATTCAACAACATAGAATCTAAGTCCGCGATTTAGAAGCTGATTTTACATCCAGAAGCTGATTCTACTATCAAGAAGCTGATTCTACAATCCAGAAACTGATATTAAAATCTAGAAGCTGATACTACCATCTAGTCGCTGATTCTACCATCTAAAATCTCAAATACATCTAGAAAAAGATTTGATCCTCCAGAATCTGATTATAAATCTAGAAGCTGATACTACAAATTAGAAGCTGAATATACCATAAAAATCTAATTGTACATACAGAAGCTGATTCTACCATCTAGAAGCTGATTATTACATCTAGGAGCTCATTTTACTTTTAATAAGCTTTTTCCGTCAACTAGAAAAAGATTATTTTTATCCAAAAGCTGATTTAACCCTCTAGAAACTAATTCTACCATCTAGAAGCTGATTCTACCATCTAGACGCCATTCATCAAAAATACCATCGTTAGAAACGATCTGTATTCTGTTTAAGCTGATTTTACCGAAGAAAGAGCTAATTTAAAGATCAACATCTTAAAATCGCCTCGATTAGATTTACCATGCCCTAAGAAAAGTCAGGCCCACCGGCTAAAATTTAATTACATACAAACATATATAAAATAATGCACTTTACAGTAATCTCAATGTTTTATTCTGGATTATGGTAATTTTACTTTATTTGGCGCATATTTTTCGTTACATCTTTTAAAGATTTATGTACACAAAACAAAATCAAAAAGTATCTGTTAGAACACTATATAGACCCAAACTGCCTTTACCTGAGCCAGGCTACAAAAACAATTTTCGGTGACCCGTCATGAGATATAACCCATTCTTAAGTACTTTGTAAATCTCTGACAGGCACAAGTTACAAACTAAAATTTAAAAAATTCATTATTTTGTTTTCTGAAATAATAAAATAATTCCTCCTTTTTTAGCTATGTTTGTCTTGCTTCGTAAAGGAACTGAGTTTTTGCCACAAACTCTAATTTTGTAAAATTTTTATCTTTTCTTCCTGATTTCATATATCTTTGACTAGGAATTCTTTTCATTTAATAGTCAAAGTTTGAAATATCAAAGGTGTGCACCATTAGGTTGCAAACACATAGGGATAAGAAAAGTTTGAGGCAAAAATGTGGTTCCTTTCATCTTGACTCTAACAAAGAGACCAAATAACTAAAATCAAGAAAAAAGTGAGTTTCCTATATTGTAATATTTAAAGTATAGGTGACTCATGCTAAAAACCTCCCCCAGCCTCACACCTTTATCTCTTTGTTCTTTTAATGAATGCGGAGTAGTTAACCTGAACTGATTCATTAAGATTCAACAGTGCACCCCAGATCCTTGAATAGAACAGACGTATGAGCCAAGCTCCGTTTGTTCAACCAAGGCTGGGGGACGGGCACTTCATGGACAGCTCTCAGAAGGCTTACAACATGTGGACTTATATGATTATNCTTGCTTCACTGCTGAGGGACTCTTCCTCATATAAGAGTTAGTGGAGGCTTGCTTTACCGCTGAGGGACTCCACAAATATATGGAATATGATTTAATATAAATAGATATTAACAGATATATTTGTACCAATAAAATGTGTAATGTTAAACCACCCACTTGTTCAAGACCTTGAGAGATAGATATTATACACAAGAAGAGAGGTTTAGGTGAATTATGAACTGGTACTGGGAATGAAAGTGAAGTCTTGCATTAACCCTCAAAGATGGGGGGGGCAACGATTGATCTTGATTTCCCTAGGATTTATGTCTGGGATTGTAACGATATCAAGGGATTAAATGTTACAATATTCTTAAAAACTTAAATGTTTTCGATCTCGTTAATTTAGATTTTAAACTGTAAAAATTAAATCTTTGGTTTGTTTTATAAACCCAGACTTGTCTCTAGTAAAAGAGATTGTCAATGTATTTTAATTTAACAGAACAAAGTGACATTAATGATTCACAAGTTTTGCCATTTTCATGCTTTTCTTCACTCAAGAAATGCGTCAGATAAAAGGTTACTATTGTGAATCGTTGATGTCATCTTAAATTGAAAATTACGTTTACAATCCTTAAAGCAAAATAAAACTAAATTGTGATTTTATTTTTTAATCTTTCTTTGTAAAAAAAAACATTATAACTGTTTATTTCAATTTGAAACAAGCATAAAAGAAAATATATTTAATTTTCTATTTTCTATTGTTAAAAAGCAAAGTTTATCGATTGTTTTGCATTTTTAGATTATAATATTGTAAATTATTAATAAAATATTTATTTGATTTCTATGGTAATAATGTGTGTGTAAGTAAAAAAGTAACAATGCAGTTTCTTTTACTCACTAAAAGGTCTGCAATTCCACACTCCAAATACACTAGACACAAGATGCAGGTCAAATTTAGGGAACAGTTCTTGTACGACTCTGCGACCTAGCTCGTACTAGTACTCTATAAGTTTAGATTTTACACAGTTGGAGAACAATAAAAGTAAGTTGGATTCACACGAGAAAGAAATGAGTCGTTACCACAAAATCTGATTTACTAATCCCTATATCGTTGCCATGCAACCTAATGTTGTAGACCTAGGATATTTCAAATTATGAATTCTTTTGATAAAATAATCTAGGTTGCAAACATCTAGCTGTGTTCTTCTCCATAGCTATTTAATTTGAGGATTGTATGGTATGATTAAAAACATTTAAGATTTTACTCAAACATGAAATCTACTTTAGTTTGACTTGATTTAGCCAAAACACCTTTAAAACAACCAAACAAAATTGGACGTTGAAAAGTTTTATTTTAAGCTGTAATAGACAACATATTTTAATAGTATTGTATTCGTTAATTTCGACACTTTTGGTGCGTGACGTATGAAAGTTAATAATTGGAAATCTAAAACATTTTTGAATATTATTACTGCGCAGTTTAAGAGTCTCTATAGTTTCTCCGTTATTAAAAGAATAATAAAAGTTTTTAATTAAATTAGTTAAAATTATCAAGACAGCGTGAAGCAGTGAAAAGATTATTCAAAATTAAAACTTTAGTTCAGAAGTAAATCTGTTAAACTTCCTACACAAAAATCTGTTTTTTAATTAAAGACTCGTTTTATTAATTATTGTTACGTTTATCAACACAAGCAATATTTAGTTATTTCAAAGATATTCTAAAAATTATGTAAAGCGTATACAACTTTATAGTAATCTTTGTTTTTCTACCTGTTTGAATATGTCTGTTAGTTCAGAAGTTATAAGTCAGGAACCCAGGGGTTCATGAGTTCTGATCGGATATCCAAACAAACAAATATTCAGACAACAAAACAAATGTTTTTACTTTATATAAGAAACCTGACTAATTGCTTTTTAATAAAAACAGTAGACGTTTTTGTATTTGATCAAATTTTTACTTTTTATTTTTCACAAATGTGTCCTTAGTAACCATGACACAAAAAATAGTTCTCTTGTAAGATAATCATAATATTTAATTTATAAATAACCTTTCTTTAGAAAGAGCAAATATTTGTTGTTGTTTTTTGATACAACTTAATTTATAAGCATCCAAGAATCTTACTTATTTCTTGTATATTTTCTGCCGAAATATTTCTTTATTTTGATGAAACATGACCATCAGAATATTCTTTCTTAATCATGTTTCTATGTAGAATAAACATGGTTCCAATTCCCTCACCAACTATTAGTATAATTCAAAAACATACTGCAATTAATCATATATAATGTACATTTGTACAACTGTACATAGCTCACGCCTACAGAGCCCGAAATTTAAAAGAGTATCGTTGAACGAAACTCCCGAGTTTCCTTTTTGGGGTCTTGGCAATTGTGTAGATTTTGATTTAAGAAATTTTAAAAAATGAAGAATATGAAGAATCTTAATAAAATAATATTTCACAACAAAAATATTGATATCCACAAAACTGCCTAACCCCAATCTTGAAACCCGGGTTTCAAAACTGGTTTTCATAACGATACCCTGTCTTAAGTTTTGGGCTCAGACTTACACGGACTGTTCATAAGCTCTACCTGGATAGGCTAAGCAGGCCTATAGTGTCCCAGCACGCCATGCTCTAGTTCCATGAAAGGTTTTTGACTGCCCTCTAACGGCCATTTGTTGCATATAATTCCTATTCAAGGGTTAAGTTTTACAATTTTTAGAGAAATACTCTAACTTTTAAAGGTGAAATGTAATTTGGGTGAAACGTAGTTGGGTGAAACGTGAATTGTGTGAAACATTATATTGGGTGAAAGGTTATTGGGTGAAACGTTTTGTTTGAAACGTTATTGGGTGAAACGTAATTGGGCAAACTGTTACCACACCCGGACATGGCTGTATTGACTCAACTCAGACAGGCGAGTTTCAATATTTTATTCAACAGAGCTATATATAAATAACCGTATACTTAGATTTAATTAAAAATGACTCGTCAGTAAAGAATAGAAGAGAAAATACTCAGATTGGTTAAATAGGGCGAAAACTAAATGCTCGCTACTTTTATGTTACCGTAAATTATCTGTTCTTGTGTAGGGAAGCTCTTTAATTTCTGGTTTCATGTGCTTTTTTACAGAACATAACAAAAGGTAAAAAAATCAGACAAAAATGCATTACCTTGGAATTCGAGATGAATTAAAGAAATATTTCTGAAGAAGTACGTATTATTTTACTACTAGCTTGGGGGACCCAGCTTGGTCTAGAAGTAAGATGTCATGTCAAAATGGCTTTCTTTTAGAAAACAAAGAAGGAACACAACTAGGAATCTAAAAAACTAAATGGAAAGCTGCAATTTTTCCAAGATTTTTTCGATTGATTTAGTTTTAAAATCCCATTATTTCATGAGTCAACATGAAAGTTTTTCATATTCTCTCTTCGAAAGGAACTGCCGACGTAATTTCAAGTCTCCCAGATGTAAAGAGTTGAACGCCCGATTCACAACGATACCCTTTCTATCTGTATCGACTAATGATGAATCGTTGTTTTCTATCTAGAAAAGTACTTAAATCATGAAAATAATCAATTTTTCAGAGAGAAAATTAGGGATATCTTTATCATCGTTGCTCAGACAAAGGTTTACAAGAAACCTTTATTATATTAAAGAACGTCAATGGTCTCTTTGAATCATAAAGCTTACCAGCTCCAGGCAGAATTTTAATGGATATTCATTTTCCCCGTTGAACCTGGAAAGCTGATGTGAATATTATGCAAAATGTGCTTCATAAACAAGAAAGGGGGGAGGGGGAGCTGAACTTTAATCTAAGTTTTGTATATTATATCCTTTTACACAAGATTCTTTTGAAAATGATTTTTAAAAACAAAATGCAGTTTCTATTTGAATACTTTAAACGAAACACTATAATATAGTAAATATACCATAATGATTGATAATGTTATTTATTAATGATGATGATATGAAGTTCTTAACAATAATACTGGTCTCATTGATGCTTGCATGGCATTTCGGAGTGTAAAATGTAATAAGATGATTTTTTTTACAAATATTATTAGGTAAAACTGCCTTTTTTCGAGGGCTTTTAAGTTACGTTAATAAGAAATAATAGTTCAATAAATCTTTAAAATATGGCAATTTCTTACCAGCTTTCTATCGTAAAGTTGCGCGTTACCTTTAATTTCAAAGTCATGAAATCAATAGTTCCTAAAAAGGATTTTTATATATTTTTTATTTACTTGTTTTTGTGTCTGTCTGCTGGATTCAACGTTTGTGTTTAATGAACTTCAAAACGATTGAACCGATCAGGGTTAAATATTTTGTGGTATCTCATATGACCCCGAGGAAAGTTTGTGGCCTGTTAGAATAACAAATTTTCGATTTTTAAAGTCTCAGACAGGCATGCCCGATTCACAACAGTGCCCTTGAAACCTTAATCTGACAAATCATGTGGAAGATAATAAAGTTTTCCAATGCTTCTGCAGAGAAAAATGCTCAAGTCACTTTTGCAAAGAAACCAAAAAGGAAAATAATCAGTTTTCAAGTGCGAAAACACAGATATCTAATTTATACTTAATTGTGAATCGGATATGCCACTCTATAAATGGAAGGTCACTTGGAATTATGTATACAGTCTCTTTAATAAATAAATTTTCTTTATATTTATGTTCTTCTCCTGTTCCCCTCTTTTAGATGATATCTAAAGCAGATTCCTTGAATGGAAGA